TTATATTTTTTATTTCTATAATACATTTTATATATTTTTACCATGTTTTTACCACCAAGTTTTACCATTTAAGGTTTTTGTTAATACCAATAACCAGATCTATTGTGGTCTATCAAAATGCAACCAATGTAGCTGAATGAATTGTAAAGAATTAGAGGCTCTTGTCATCTCTTGTCCTTGCAGAAATAATCTAGCTGTTGGAAGATGTTCCAGTGAACAAAAAAAGAACATCCTTTTTGTACAGTACTCTGGAAGAGTGAGAGCGAACGAGAACAAGAGAGATGGGAAATGAATCCAGCTCCACTTAAGAGCTTCATTCACCCAGTCCTTGAAGCGCGGGCCCTCACAAGGACTTCAAATCGATAAAAAACAAGCACCCAAATGAGCAAAAAAATGACCCCCTCTTCCACTTTCTCCCGCTGTAGTAATTTCCTCATTCTCTTTGCTCCCTTTGTGATCGATGAGGGAAAAATTGGACTATGATCAAACCCGTCAGTCTTCCGGTCGCTCGCCGCAGCGCAGGGCTACGACTCCGGCAGGTTAATTAATAGATGGATAGGCAGGCGCCGCTACCCCGGTATCATTTGAGCGACGGAGAGACGGAGGGGGGAAGGTGATATTTATCTAAATTCCAATTACCCTCATCTGAGGCTTTTGATGTTGTTGCAGGGTCAGCTCTCGGCAGGCTGAGCAAGCACTCTGCATTTCAAACACTCAAGTGCACCGTGAGGACATCCCCGACTAGGGAAAAGAGTACACATCTGAAGTATTCTAATTTGTTGAGATGCACCTGTATATAAATAAAATTAATTAAAATATTTTAAATTGTATGTTAACTGTTAATTGTTTAAAGTGTATGTATACTGTGTGTATATATCTATAAATCTATTTATATAGTGCATATATATATATATATATATATATATATATATACACATATAAGTATATGTACATATAAATATATCTGTGTGTTTATATATGATAGTAAATCTGATAAATTGTAAATTGTAATTATATATATAATATTAGAAAGTAAGAAAAAAGCAAAAATTCACTAAAATATTTAAGAATTTTTAAACAAACTGTGTGTGTGTGTGTAATCTGAAACTGAGATTTTACATTTAAATTTTTTGTCTAGTAAACAAATTAAATGCAGTTTATGACACAGATGCTGCTAGAATATATTCTCAGCATCTGGATTTGTTTGAGAGATTCACATGAAGTACCCACAGATGGTTGCCTTTAGGGCTGTGCGATTAATCGAAATCATCATAAAATCGCGATTTGAGCTTGCGCGATTTCTAAATCGCTTTATAGCACGATTTTCCGCGTCCCCGACCTCCCGCAGTATGCTATCCGAACCAATCAGAATGCAGCGCGCCTAAATGGAGCACGAGAACAGAACAGAAGGAGCGGTGCGTCTGCAGCAGTCATGCTGCGATCGTTTCCGCACAGAATCTATTTCTGCTGTGCTATACGCGCTGAATTAAAGTGACACAGCGCATTATTCGTGGTAAAATTTAACATGGATTGACACGGAAATGTAGTAATTACACAATAAATGCATATAATTAAAGTCTACTGTTTCACAGTCAACACATGGCTTTTTGGCTAAAGATCATCAACCCGTATCAGACACTGAGCAGCCTCCGCTGTTTAAACTAGTCATAAATGTAGTTCTCTTTGTGATGTTCTCTTCCATAAATGTGAACATGTAAAACTTTCGTGAACATTAAAAAAAAAAAAGTGTGATTTTTTTTTTTTTTTTTTTTTTTTTTTTTTTTTAAATACAGTTCAC